AGTTCACTATTGCAGTTAAATCACCACTATAATGTGACCACTTCTGGGGTCAGTCCACTCTTGGTTAAAGAAATAGTTAACCCAAAAATTTGCTGACCCTTAGGCCATCCAAGATGTAGATGAGTTTGTTTCTTCATCAGAACCGATTTGGAGAAATTACATCACTTGCTCACCAATGGATCCTCCGCAGTGAATGGGTGCCGTCAGAATGAGAGCTCAAACAGCTGATAAAAACATCTCAGTAATTATGTATTATAGACTCATGTTTTGACCAGAAGCAATGGTTTACAGTTAAAACGCCTTAATGATGGATTTGTTTCTTACAAACACGCAACTTTTCTTCACAAGATGTTAACTGAGCGACTCAAGTTGTGTTGTGAATTATTGTTATGTTTTAATCAGCTGTTTGAACTCTCGTTCTGACGGCACCCATTCACTGCAGAGGATCCATTGGTGAGCAAGTGATGGAATAATAAATTTCTCCAAATCTGTTTCTATGATGAAACAAATTCATCTACATCTTGCGTGACCTGAGGATGAGGATAAATACATTTTCAGCAAATTTTCATTTTTGGGGGATCTATTCCTTTAAATTATTACGCACTCTACCAGTATTGGTAATTGTTTCTAGTGAGTAGGTGCTATTTTCCAGGCTCTGTGCACTTCGAGATCACAAACCATTCCACTATCTCACGCTTTGGTATTGACTCCATATCTTAGGCAGAACCAGTACTTCCAAACTGCCAAGAAACCTTTTCTGGCTTGACTTTTGCTTCAGTACATTCTTTCTTTTATTACACTGGTGGCTAGTTCTCCACCATTACTAGTATTACTAACAAGTCCGTGTTAGTCACAAGGTGCTCATTACTGCCTACATTTATTGTTGTATGATAAAGTGTGTTAACCTAATAAAAAGTTTTCATGGAGATGGAGTGATAAAGCCAATCATAACTGTACATTTTTTCCAAAAGTTCTTGAAATCTCTCATTTTTAAACTTGAAGGCTCACACTTATGGAGGTACGATGTTTTAATTATTAAAAAAAAAAAGTATGATTAAAATTGCAAGTGTACGAATGTATCATAATTGTGGTTATATAGGAATGTTTTCATTTGAAATCTTCGTCCGATGCATATCTCTGATTCCTTGCTTTCTTGAGCTGAATGTAGATGACACTGAGATCTTTCTAAACCATTCTCCCATCTTTAAAACACAGATGATCTCCTAAACAAGATATCTGGCTTAAAAGGTTCAATCTTTTGGATTTTCTCACTTATTATAGGAGACTTTTGACAGGATATGCAACCTGTACATACTCTATATTTTGATAGCTTTGTGTTTTATGTATTTGCATATTTATCAATCAAACAGCCACATGAAAGATCTCAATTACTCACTGTCTTTGTTTCACTGGTCATTGCAAATGTCTAGTCAGTCCAAACCCAGCATGAACGTCCATAACCTCCCCACAATATATTAAAAAGTTGATGATGAACAGGCGCGTAGCAAAAAAAAATGAAGCGATGGGTGTACATTTCTGCTCAGTTCTGCGGTGCTTGGAGCTTTCATTATGTGCTTTAACAGCTCTAGTTAAAAAACAAATAAATGGGCAAAATGAGATTTACATGTTAAGTCAAAATCCAAGTAATTTATGTTATTTATGTAATAGCAAAGGTGCCCAAATATGTGTGTGTGTGTGTGTGCCAAGTGGAGTTATATCCCTTGAAATATCAGTAGGTTGTGTTGCGGTCTAAAGATTTAAATATCTACAGAAATTTAGTGAAAATAAATATGATCTAAAGCTCAGTTAAAACTTACAAGTGTGAGTAAAAAAAGAAATATAGCATTATTTGGAAGCTAAAGTGTCTTTGCAAATATATCTTCATTGAATGCAGCACTGAGAAATTGTGTGCAAAGAGAAAGAAAAGTAAAACATTGGATGTATATCTAGACTTGTGGCGAAAAAAACAAGATTATGAGGGGGGAAAAATAAGAGCTCTGCATGCACGAGCAAAGAAAACGATTATTGAAAGGTGCTTAGAAATGCCTGAATGAACTTTTCCAGGTTGAGAGGAGACACTGGATTTTGTATTAACTTTTGTGTATTGCTTTGTAAATTGTTTGGTTCTGTTTGTTTTTAGATTCTTTGCGACTCTTGACTTTATTTTGAACTGTATGAAATATAATCGAATCAACTGATAACTCAAAAGCTGTTTCGGATGTAGTAAACATTTATCATATAACTAAGCATGTCAGATTGCCAATATCGTCTTTAATATGCAGTGAGCCTGATGTGCTAAATGCTGTATTCCTGTAAAACACTACATTGGAAGGTGATAAGGTTTATAATTATTGATACATTTATATATTTTTAAATTTTGTTACTATATATGGTTGTTCTTGTGCAGATATTTGTTTTGTTTTTTTAGTATTAATAAACAAACCTACAACAGCTAAACATGTGTCACTTGGGATTTACTTTAATAACTATTCGGTTTTGATTATAGAAATGTGTGTTTTCTGCCTGCATTACAGTTTGCAGCTTTTACAGCAGGGGGAGATACAGGCCACTAATACAAAACGGTCAAATAAAATCATACAACACAGGGTAAAGTTAGCCTTTCATCTCGACAGGGATGATTCAAAACACTTACACTATTAATTTTGCAGCCACTTTAATGTCAACTCAGAAAAGCTATTTAAACCAATGGCTGTTTAGCGCACGTGCTTCTGTTTCTGGTAACCATAGAAACTATGACCGGTGCAGATTCAGAAGTCTGCTGCTGTGATTTACTTTCTACTGGTGGACATTTATAACTATATTTACATGAAGGTGGATTACCAAACTTACTAATGATATCGTCAAGAAAGCGGGAGAAACCTAAGGTAGGCCGCTAAACTTTAAGAACTGATTTCTGGTAATGTTATGAATGCTAACGCTAGTTTTAACGTTCAGAGGCTGCTGCTGAGAATGCCCGCTTGTCTTTACAAGTTTCAGTAAATTGTAAAAATTCTTCTCGCCTTGTGAGCGATGTTCAGTCGGAGTCAGCCGTTTAAGCAAACACTAAAGTCTTGAAGTGTAAGTGATGAAAATCTCTGGGAGAGGCTTGGCTGATTTTCCATCATCAACTGGTTCGTAACATAATGAACAAATCAAAACCACTGAAACGTTTATCACTTCGTAGATCAGCAAGATGCTGCATTCGCCATCTGTGGAGAAATCTGTAAGTATGATGAGCACATAAAAACCTCAGAAGTGGAGGACCGGTGTAATCCTAAAGGATTTCAGCTTGAAGTGTGATAGAAATGTGAATAAATGAAATAATTTGTGCTATATATGAGCCACACTGCATTTTTATGAGGTCTCTGAAGATTTGAATTGTAAAGGCATATGGAACTAATTATTCAGATGAGCCACTGTTAAATATCTTAGAAAAAGCCACAGTAAACTATAAATTACACAGTTTGCACCATAAAAGAAATAATTAAAATCTTACCAGTAGACTCAGTACTGCTCATTTAACTGTCTACAGATTATTTATTATTTAGATTATCTGCTATTATCATGCTTTTAATAAAACGTTATAATAAATACTTTTTAAATAAATTATTATGATCTTCGTGCCATATGTACACTGCACAGAAGCTGCATATATACCATGCATTTATTTAAAGTCTGCTTAATACCACACAAATATAGGTATATATTATAAATGTATTTACGCAGGCATTGCAATTGTAGAAATAATGCTTTGAAATGTATTAAATGTTTGAATCCCACTAATAAGGTTTCAAATTTCAAAAATTAGAATAAATACTTTTAAAATAATAATAATAATGGCATTGTTGTTGTTGTTGTTGTTATCATTTAAAAAGTCTTTATTATAATTTTTGAAATCTTATTAGTGGGCAGCCCAAGCATGAAACAAATATTTTGTATAGTTAAATAAATGAGCTCTACCAAGCCTGTGGCTTATAATTTAAAATGAAAATATATTTTTTGTTGTGCAATTTGTGGTATATATTGTATAACTGATAATGTGCTGTTTTTTAAAAAAAATTGCTGATCTTTTATCATTTTCATTCATCATTTTAAAAAACTTTAAGATTTAAAACATTTAATAAAATCATTTTTTTAAATTTAATAAAATCCATTATTATTATTATTATTATTATTATTATTATTATTGGCTATTTAGAACCATATTTTTCCCTCTCAGTTGCAATTCTAACAGCAGGGGGGGGAGACAGACATTTAATTAAAAATAAATAAATGAGGTAGATATGTGGGGGCGTGTTAGAACGAGCCGTTTTAGGGGGCGTGGCAGAGTCTTAACTTTGATAAAGAATATTTCTTTGGTTTTGAGACTTTAGTCTTTGCAACTTCAGGGATCTTATCTATGCACAATCAGCTTGTAACACTCCAAAGAGAAAGGAAAACTTGAAATCGCATCATATGACCCCTTTAAAATAATAGACAAAACATGCCCTAATTGTAGAGGTAGCCTTTTATCTCTATAGTAATGGTTCTGTAACTCAGTGTAAATATATATAGGGGGAAAAAAGCTTAATTGTTATAAGTTTTTTTTTATATAAAATAGTGTCGAGGCAGAAGCAGGAAGCATGAGGCAGGCAGGAAGGATGTGGTCTAATGGGGCTGTACACAATGAAGCCAGAGTAAACTGCGTACAGAATTTCAGATTTCACATCATGATTTTTACACATTGTGGTGTGGTGTTGGGTTTTAAACAAGAAGGGACAGCAGGTTGTGATATCCAGGCTAGAGCACATCTTCTGTGCTTTGCGTTAAAGAAGTTTAATTTAACTTCAAATGAGTCATTTCAGTCAGAACAGGTATAATGTGCATTTCACGGTCCCAGACCAATATACTTTCCAGCGCAGAAGCTAGAGACAGAAAGCAGCCGACATAAGCTCAAGCGTCGCCATAACGACCGTGGAGCAGCTGCTGCGGACGCATGCGCACTACCTCTCTCCCCATCCGCGTACACCTCGTATCCTGTTTCAGGTCTAGCGAGCTAACGGGGAGGCACATATGGCCATCGCCGTGGTTAATGTAGTTTCCTTTGTTTACCTCAGTTCCTCCGATATGCGGTTAAAACGCTCTCGCTGACTAAGGACGTTCACATTTTCCACTCGCGCTCCTCTCACCTTGATGAGAAGTCGGAAGAATGATCGCATCCCTGTCTAAAGGAAATCTGCTTGACGTGCTGCAGGAGGGTCCTAATGAGGTACTGAACTCCTAAACCCTCATGTCTGTTTACACGTGCATTCTTCATTTCATTTGCTCATTTACGCAAGAACTCCGAAGAGTGCGACAGCATTGTATTGTTTGCACCTTCTGTGGGTAGTTACTGTAGAACAACAGATACCAGGTTCTTTTGAATGTAACTTAGTATTTATGCACTAGAGCCAAGTATGTTTATAGACATTGACAGCTGAAATTTAATTGAGCACATGCGGACTATAATCCTTGTGCCATATGCGCAGATGCTGCATATATACCATGCATTTGCTTTAAACCAAAATACCAAATATAAAGTGTAAGCCTATATATTTATATTATATAATCATATTGTATAAATGCGTTTTTGTAAAAAATTATAGTGGCAGAAATGCTTTGAAAATAATGTGAAATAATGTAAACTTAAGATGATGAATGAAAATTATGAATTAAAATAGTAAATGATCAAATTACAGCATGTACACAATAGTTTGCACACCAAAACGAGCATTTCAGCAGTAAAATGTCAGTAACCGTCCTTAAGATTTCTAATCAGAGAGAAGGATTGTCCTGGCAGCTAATACACAATGGGAGACACAATCCTATTAATCTTGAATTTACAGAGACTGTTTAATGCCACACATACAGAAATAGGTTTATGTACAGTATGTGGTGTGTGAATGCATGTACATGGAAATTACAGTTGCAGAAATAATGCTTTGAAAATAATGTTTTACATATGCAGTTGATTGAAACTGGTTGATGACATTATAAATTAAGACCAGTAAACTATAAATTATGCCATAAATACCACGGTTTACTCAATAAACGTGATCATTTCAGTAGTTAGTTAGTAGTAACGTCAGTGAAAGTCTATAAGAAAGTCTTGACAGCTGTTAAGCAATGGGAGACGCAATCCTATTCATCCTGCATTTCTAGAGACTGTTTAATGCCACACAAATATAAATGTATATTATATATGATATAAATGCATTTACAGATGAATCACAATTGCATAAATATTGTTGAAAATAGTGCTTTTGAATTATGAAAATGTAGAAAATATGAAATTATGAATATCGAAACAGGAAGGGATAAAAAAAATATATAAATAAAAATAGGAAGCCATAAATAATGCCACATGTACACCCCAGTTTGCACAATAAAAGTGATATTTTCAGTTGTTTGTTAGCAGTAAATGTCAGTAATAGTCCTAACAGAGAAAAGGATAGACTTGACAGCTGTTAAACTATGGGATACACAGTCCTACTAATGCAAAAATTGATTTTTTTTAGTGAGCTGCCAACCTTGACAGCATTTTTGGGCAGCAAGCTAGGCTTTGAGACACAGTCCGCTATTGTGCTGTACATGTAGTCAGTTCTCTACTGTGCTTACTTTGATACATTTGACAAATATCAGTGTAGTGCTGGATTACTTTATATTTTCATTAGAATAACATGATAGTATTTTAATTTATAAGTTATATGCAGGAACCTCTAAATAAGTGTTAAAGTCCTTTTAACCTGTGGAGATTACTATATCATGCTCTTAGAAATGGTGTTAAGTGTGGGAGGAGGTGTTAAGCATATTATGCCATTTCTGTAACCATGTGCACTATGGTCAGACATTCCCTACTGATGTTACCTAAGACTGAGTGCTTCTACATCTGCCTGCCCTCCAGCTGTAACCATTAAACCGTCAAGCGCTGTTCTCAAACCTTCATTGATTTTTTTTGTTATGAATCCCAGCTGTCTTAGTCTCTACAGATATTTCAGGTCCACCAAGAATATAAGGTGAGAATACAGCAGAACAGCAGGCTCCAGTGATGGAGATGTATCCTTCTGTCGGGTCTCTGTGGGAACAGACAGCTCATTTGTACAGCTGGTTGCGCAGGACTATTGCTACCTTCCAGTTTTACAGCACGGTCAGCATCTTACAGTGCATCTGTGCTGAAAGCTCTCAGTGTTAGCTGTTCTCACTGGGAAGCCTGTCACTCTGGGCCACTGTTAGATTGAAGTGAGACAGAAATGCTTCAGACAGAGCTTGCATTGTGTTAGTCAGCCCACCATGTGGCAAATCAATAAATGCTACTGTGCATGGGTCCTCATGAAAAACATGCAGAGCTCATTTTGTTTTCTTTATTTTGGTGTGCATGTGTTTTACTTGACTTATGCACATGTTGGCATTTGATGTGAACTACACATTGGTTGGGAGGTTGAGGGCCAGGAAAGGTTTATCCACAGTCTTCCAGATTAATAGGAGACTGTGTTTTGTCAAGGTGCGACACTTGATGTCATGAATCACTGTTCAGTTTCATTCAAATGTTTGGGGTCGGTAAGGTTTTTTAATGTTTTTCGAAAGAAGTCTTATATTCTTTTATGCTGATTTGATGCTCAAGAAACATGCTTATCATTATCAATTTTTGAAGACTCTTGTGCTGCTTAATATTTTTGTGGAAGCTGATATATTTGATGAATCATAGGAAGTTGAAAAAAACAACAGTCATTTGAAAAAAGAACTATACCATTAAAAAAAGTCTTTATTGTCAGTTTTGATCAACTTCATGCATCCTTACTGAATAAAAAATAATAAATCTTTCAGAAATCAAAATCTTACCGATCTTACTGAATAGTGAATGTCATATATGAGAATTGTTTAAAAGAGTAGCTCACCCAAAACTTAAATTTTTGGCTTCATTTACTAAAAACTGCAATTTTTGGCTTCATTTACTCCATCAATTTAATTTTCTCCCCCCAAAAAGAGACATTTTGAACTTCTATGCACTTTTTCATTATATTTTAATGAGGCTTCAAAAAGGAGCAGAAAGCGTCATAAAATTGGTCCTTATGACTGCATTAAACTCCAAACTTAATATTATAATCTTGACATCTGTCCTATACTTATTGGTCATGAAATAAATAGTGATCACCGACTTGTGAATGGATCAGTATTTGGTTGGATCTTTTTTTTTTTTTTTTTTAAATGAATCAGTTATTCTGGTTTTGTCAAGTCAAGTCACCTTTATTTATATAGTGCTTTTTATAATACAGATTGTGTCAAAGCAGCTTTACATTATTAAACAGGAAAATAGTGTGTTGATAATGCAAGAGGACAATAGTAAATGCTCAAGTAAACGCTTTCAGTTAAAGTCAGTTCATTATTGATTCAGTGATGTCATCGTCCAGCTCAGTTCAGTTCAAATAGTATAGTTTACAATATTGGAATGAATGATTAATTCACAATTACACTGATCTGGTTCTTGAGATAAACTCACTGACTCCTGTCACATTGGTTTACAGCTCACTTGTGGGGAATATAATCAGTATATAGCATGTAAATTTTGGTTCGTATCTCTGACAGAGCTATCGTATGGCATTTAGAAGACATAAAATTTAGTCATATGGACAAAATTCATGATACTTTTATGGTGTTTTTGTGTCATTTTTTCCTCTAAGGTATTGGACTTGTTTAGTATAAGTAAATGCTATTTCTACATGCTGTATTTTTTTATGCAGCCATCCCACATTCTTCAGCATCTACAAAAAAAAACATTTTGCCAGAGGGTAGAACTGCGGCAAAGCTCACTGCAGTCTTTATGTGTTCCTACATGTATTTGCTGAAGAGGAAGCGTGAACGTGGGGAGTTAAGCTGTCCTTTTGTGACATGGCAGAGAAAGTGCAAGTCAGACTAATCCACGCTGTTGAACCCGGGTGATGCTGACCAGCCGGTGTGAATGAGGAGGGACTTGTTCTGTCAAAGCAGGTGCATCTTGAGCACTGAGGCATACATTTCTTTTGACAACGGGTATCCTAGTGGGTATCAACACAGGCATATCTTGCATAACCTCTCCACCAGGACTGTCAGCACTAATGATAACTGGGGAGGTATGCAGTTTAATTCAATTCAATTCAAGTTTATTTGTATAGCGCTTTTCACGATGCAAATCATTGCAAAGCAGCTTTACAGAAAAGTTTCTACATTATATTTAGTAATAGCTTATCAGTGGTGACTATCTCAAATTTATGTCCATAATATGGCAGAAATGTACGATAAAAATCAAGCAGTTAGTTAATGTCATGTAATCAAACAGACGGTGAACACTATTAACACAGTAATGATTATATGTTGCAATCAAACGTATAGCAGAAGAAAACAGCACGTAGAGACATTGGCTCCATTGAGATTTGTGCTTAGGCTGAGCTTGAGGAAAGTAACCCTATACTGTAGCATAGATGAGGTTTTGTTTAAATTGCAAAATGACAGTTTTGGAAGCATCATTAATTCAAGGAAAATTTGGAAGTTGTGGCTATATAATGGTCAACTGGTTTTCTATACTATGCATATTTATATACACTTCTGTTCAAAAGTAAGTTTGACATTAGTAAGATTTTTAAATACTTTTATTCAGCAAAGGTGCATTCAGTTGATCAAAAGTAAGCATAATGACTTTGATTCAGTGTTGTTCTTTTGAATTTTCGACTCATCAAATAATCCAGAAATAAAATGTACAGTTTCCAGAAAAATATTTAGCAGCACAACTGTTTTAACATTGATAATGAGAAATGTTTCTTGAGCACCAAATCAGCATATTAGAATGATTTCTGAAGGATCATGTGACATTGAAGACTGGAGTAATAAGCTTTGCCATCACAGGAATAAATTAAATTTTAAAGGGGTCATATGATGCGATCTCAATTTTTGCTTTCTCTTTGGAGTGTTACAAGCTCATGGTGCATAAAGAAGATCTGTAAAGTTGCAAAGACTAAAGTCTCAAATCCAAAGAGATATTCTTTATAAAAGTTCAGAGTCAACCACGCCTACCTAAAACGGCTCGTTCTAACACGCCCCCACATGTATACGTCACGATGTGGGAAGATTTGCATAACGCCGCCCAAATGTTCACGCAAAGAAAGAAGGCGTAACTTTTATTCTCGCTGTAGTATTGTTGTTGCCGCCACCGCCATGTTGTGAAGGCGCTGTGTTTTGTTGTGAAAGCGAAACTACTTTGTTTGACCTTCCAAAAGAGGACGATATCCTCTTCGTCATGCCTGGAGCTGATCCGTGCTGGTCGCTGAAGAAATACATCAACTTCGCGCTGTCAATCTCCGGATCGGCTTTCACCGTGGATAAAGCGGAGTCCAGCCCGGGGTCGTCACATGTGGTTGCCGCAAGCCCGCTGAACGCTCCTTCGTCGAATCCGCCGGCCGCGCCGTTCTCAAGCCCGCCCGCCTCTGCTCACTCAAGCCGGCCTCCGCTCACTCTAGGCTGCGGCTCACTCTAGGCCTCCGCTCACTCAAGGCCGCGGTGTGTGACGCTGTTTCGTTGTGAAAGCGAAACTACTTTGTTTGGCCTTCCAAAAGAGGACACGACTAGAAATCAGTGGTTAAGTTGTATTTACAACACTGTTCCAGAACAGTTTAACCCAAATATTCAGATGTGTGCAGCGCATTTTATGGAGGACTGTTTCCTGATCCTGGTAGAGTAGACCACAATGCCGGCTGTTCTTACTCACAGATTGTAAGTACGTTTTTTATATTAAAGAATTTGCCACTGACGATTCAAATGCGAGTTGCACATTTTATGGAGGACTGTTTCCTGATCCTGGTAGAGTAGACCACAATGCCGGCTGTTCTTACTCACAGATTGTAAGTACGTTTTTTATATTAAAGAATTTGCCACTGACGATTCAAACGCGAGTTTTTTGGGCAGTGTAGAGTAGCACTTGTTGTTTGTCATATCTCCGATCACAAATACAGACATGGTTTTGTTTACGCAGCGCGATGCAATGCAACGCGTAAAAAGACAGTATAAGTCATTATAATCCGTAATTATGTCCCCACTGGATGCAACAAATGCCTCGTTTATAATGGGTTTTCATGTTTTTGTCTCGTCGCTCCGGCCGGACAGGGCATCACAATATGGTAAGGGGCGTAACATTTCTGTCACACGCTTGAGGTATTCGGCCAATCACAACGCACTGAATAGCTGGCCAATCAGAGCACACCTCGCTTTTCAGACCGATGAGCTTTGTAAAAATCGGCGCGTTTCAGAAAGGTGGGGCATAGAGGAGAAACCGTAATATACAGTATGTGGAAAATAATGTGTTTTTTAACCTTAAACCGCATAAACACATTTCATTACACCAAATACACCAAATAATTTTATTTTTAGCAGCATCATATGACCCCTTTAAAATATATTTAAATAGAAAGCAGTTATTTTAAAATGTAATTAATAAAAGAAACCATGGTCAAATATAGCATAAAACATAGCATAAAATCAGTAAAATTAATAAAAGCATGCAAAAAAATCAGAAGTACAATCTGCTCTTGAGCTGTATACTATAACCACGTTTGCACTTACCTGATGAAATGTTTGTCTTTCTAGCAGCAACTGGCTGCCTATGTGTCTTGGGTTAATGCACAGCTGAGAAAGAAGCCTGGACTGAAACCTGTAAGTGATCTACGGCAGGATCTCAGAGATGGTGTGGTTCTAGCACACCTCATTGAGATAGTGGGTAAGCCTGTACATCATATTCCATTTTTATTGCAGGACTGTATAATAGGCCATTGTATTGAGATGTGTTTTATATATTTGGCAAGCTGGTGAGCTGCTGGATGGCATTCATTATGTGCCACGTGATGACCAGGAGAGGAAGCAGAATGTGGAGAAGGTTCTGCAGTTTGTATCATCCAAACGGATCAGAATGCCACAGACATCTGCCAGGGGTGAGTTACAAAGGCTCTTAATCATGGTTAAGCTGATAAAACTGCTTATTTAAGATCTCTTCTTTCTCTCTGTACTCAGATATTGTGGAGGGGAACCTCAAATCTGCCATGAGGCTCATACTCGCTCTAGCTGCACATTTTAAACCCTCTGCATCAGCCAGTCACAGAGCTGGAGCTGGCGTAGGCAGGAGTTCCACTGGCTCCTCAGCCAATCACAGACCTCATTCCACCATGGCCATGGCCCAAAATGCAGCAGCAGCACTGGCAGCAGCCAGGCAGGATGCCTCTCGGCTTGGCCGCTCCGTTTTTCATCTAAGGCAAGAATGGAGGTACATGTAGCTCCGTTCTTCCCTTTACCTCGTTCTCCTCCTTCAAAAGAATTTTGTAAATGTCTATTCATTTAGGTAGAATTGCTTCCATAAAGTAGCTGTTCTTAAATCTCCTTCTCATTTTATATGGATAGTTCACCCAAAAATGAAAATTAAGATAGAGATTATGGTTTATAAAGTTTTAAATATGGATATTTTTCTTACACAAATGCATCGCTTCGCTACAGAAGGCATTTATTATCCCCCCCAGAGCCGTGTGGAGCACTTTTTATGATGGATGGATGCAGTTTTTTTTTGGCTGCAAAATCTCGACCCCCATTTCACTGCCTTCTTGGAAGAGTCAGGATATTTTTTTAATATAACTGATTGTATTCGTCAGAAAGAAAAACATCATATACACTAGGGGTGGAATGGTTCGCGGAAAAAAATCGAACCATACGGTTCTCCACACACGGTTCGGCACGCGCTAGGACCGCGGTTCAACTTAAATCTGACAAGGCATCTGTAATATGGTTTACAGTGTAAAAGTCTTTATTTTTCAGCATAGCAGTTATTTTGCACATTTCCACTAGGGTTTTGGACCACTCCTCTGCAAAGATTTCCAGGTCCTTGATGTTGAAAGGGTTCCTTTCCATCAGTCTGGTCCTTAGTTCTCTTCACAAATTCTCAATTGGATTCAGGATTGGACTCTGGCTTGGACCACTTTTGATGTGTATTGTGGGTCGTAAGATAACAATAAGGGATGGAATGGTTCACGGAAAAAAATCGAACCGTACAGTTCTCCACACAGGGTTCGGCACATGCTGGGACCGCGGTTTACCTTTAATCTGACAACACATCTGTAATATGGTTTGCTATAAATAACACGTAAAACAAACAGGGTTCAGCTAATATATGTTTCTGTTGATGAATGCGCATTCTGGCTTCCCAATACATTACGACAACAGCGATGGGGGGAAAAAAAAAAAAGTAGACAAACCATTCACTCTTGTTCAATGCGACTGCCGTATGCTGGAATATGAGCAGTCATTTATTCCGTCATCACCCGGGTGCTGATAGCATGCGCGAACACGTGAGACCTGAACAGCACACGTTGATATCTGTGTTTAAACTAAACTCATGTAAGCTTTGCCAGTTTAAACATTTAAGAGCCAGAGGGCGCGAGCTAGCGCGCGCACAGTGAGATTTGTGCGTGCACTCATCCGAAGCGCGCAAACCCGCGCCTCAGAACGTGCACAAATATTAAGCTCTCTCTGAAGTATTATGTTTAAATGGACAAATTCACACAAAAATTTTCAAAATGCCCGTTTTGGTAAGTATCCTATAACAGACATAACCGGCTGAACATACTGTATCAGTGCTCTGAATCAGTGCATTCTCTTAAAGTGACAGCACTTTCTTAATATTAATCAAACAGCAACAACAAAGAAATCACTCACTGCTCTTGATTGAATAGCTTTTGTAACTTTAGTAAAGATTAATATTTAATTTATACAGTCAAAAATGCAATGCTGTTTTACATTTCATTACCTTATTCAGTTTCTGTACCTAAAAACTAATGTTAGACCTACCTAAAAAAAAAAACTGAAAATCACTGTTTATTTTATTTGTATCTTTACTCTATTGTATTTTTTGTGCTGTTGCTTGTAGTTAAATAGATTATTCTTATTTTCTTTAGTTTTATTTGATAGTATAGTTTTTCTCTAAACATGGCACATACTGAACCGTACCGAAAACGTGACTCTAAAAGAGTCATACAAAACTAACCGTGAGTAAGTTGAACCGTTCCACCCCTAATATACACCTAAGATGGCTTGAGGGTAAGTAAATCATGGGGTTGTTGAATGAAGGCCTCCTGTAGAGAAGTGATGCGTTTTTGTAAGAAAAATATCTATATTTAAAATGTTATAAATACTTTTTTTCTCACTTCCGCTGACTATGATATGTGCAAGCCGTTCCAGCGGCTGATGTAGGACGTATGCGTCACGCACACGCCAATGATTAGTGACTAACGCAGATTTAGAACGAATTAGAAGCACAAAACGAGGATTTGTAAAGAAAAATGTAAGAGGATTTTGATATAAGCCAGGAGGAGACTGGTTTTCCTTTGTTAAAGTAAGGAAACTTTGCTTCCTTTGCTCCTGTAAACAAATTCGCAAGACTTGCATATCTCACCGGTGCGTGCGCGACACGTCCTACTGTACATCATCCGCTGGAACGGCTTGCAGGTATGACAGTCAGCGGAAGTGAGAGAAAAGTATTTATAACATTTTAAATGGATTATGAATATTCTTCTTACAAAAACACATCGATTCGCTACAGGAAGCCTTCAAAACATGGGCTAATTTTCATTTTTGGGTGAATTAACCCTATAAGTCTGATCTTTCTTAAGACTCAGTTGATTCAGTTCACAAAACCGGTGAAATGTTATCAGTGAAAACATAAATTCCGGTCTGTTTGAAATATTAGTGCTAGTAGTTCTCATTTTGTGTTTCAAAGAAGAAATTAAGTGACATGCGGTAAACGATGATAAAATACAACGGATGAATCATTGTCCTCTTACTGCTGTAATTAGGAATTGCAGCTCAGTTCAGAGGTAGCATATGGATAATCAGATCTAAAGATCTAAATATATGTTTCATCTACAACTTAAGATTTGATGTCACCCCTAGCAATAATCTTTAATGTGCTCTGTTAGAGCTTTGAAAATGGTTTGCATGAGTCTGAAACAGCGCAAAATTATAAAAAATATATATTCAGAGAGAGTTGTTTAGTTTACAAATGAAAAGATCATCCATACTTGAAACAGCTTTTTACAGTTTCTAATCTCACTGTATTTTTTGCTCTTAGTCATGGCTGCAGTGGCGAGGTGGACAGTGAGAACCCCTGCTGGAGTGTCCAAGCATTGGTTCAACAGTATGAGGGACAGAGAGGGACATTTGAAGAGGAGACGGGAGCAAGATCTACTTGGTAAATACTAATATTTAAGATCTAATAATCAATATTTAAACAAAACATTAGTGAAAATGCACATAAATAGACAATAAGACGCTGATGTAGTTATAAGCCTGTAAATTGAGAATACATTCATGTGTAAATAATTTGCTTCAGTTTTGTAAAACACCTCTTGGAACCAACCAGCTTCCCAGCATTCTCATCTCGTAGTTACAAAATATACACAAACATGTTATCACAACCCCTCTTGTTTATTCTTTCTGCTTTTATGAGAGGAGAACACATAGATAGGCTGGAGGAGGCTGTCACGAGGATTTTCTCACTGCTTGTTTTGTAAGGCCTGAGATGTTCCTGCCCACAGGCTTTCTTTAAGGCATCATCATGCTTTGCCACTGAAAACCAGAAAATGTGTGACTGTTCTTTTATGTGAGACATCAGCTATGATTTTATCTGGAGGAGCTGATTCAGTACCTGATTATCCAAAAGAACATAATTTGTACACTTAGTCATTAATTCTGGTTTTGGAGATGTATGTAAATGTCTTTAAAAGTGTTATGTAAGAAACCATTCTAGGACATTGTCAGGTCAGTGACTTGTTAAGAGGCACTTGATCAGTGATAACTTGACAGATCTGGATAGCTCATTGCCCTGTAGGCTACATTTGGGTAATGCTTACACTCAAATGCTTTAATAAATCGTTCAGACTTTGTTATTGACCATTTAATATATACAACCCCAATTCCAGAAAAGTTGGGATGTTTTGTGAAATGCCATAAAATCAAGAATATGTTATCTGTTCATTCTCTTTAATCTTTATTTAATTGACTGAAGTGCAAAGAAAAATTTCCAATGTTTTCACTGACCAACTTAATTTTTACTTTGTAAATATTAACACATTTTGATTTTGATGGCTGCAACACACTCCAAAAAAGTTGGGACAGAGCGTGTTTAACACTGTGACACATCAACCACTTTGCTTTTAATTACAATGTTTTATTGTTTGGGAATTGAGGATACTATGTGTTAAAGTTTTTCAAGCTAAATTTTTGTCCAATCTCGCTTGATAAAAGACTTCAGATGCTCAGCAGTCTGTGATTCTCCTTTTCATGACTGGTCATTCATTTTTAATCGGAGACAGATCTGGACTGCAGGTAGGCCAGTTTAGCACATTCACCCGGAGTCTACGACGCTGTTGTAGCACATGCAGAATGAGAGCTGGCATTGTCTTGATCTAATAACCATGGACTTCCCATTAAAGACATCATTGATGGAAGTATATTTCTCTGTACAATTCCAATATATGCCTCCATGTCAATAGTACCTTCGCACATAAGCCAGTCACCCATGCCGTTTGCTCTGCTGCACTCCCATACCATGACAGACGTTTGCTTTTGCTTCAGTCACTGATGAAAGTCTGAATGGTCCCATTGGTCTTTGGGACTGAGAACTCGAAATCCATTTTTTGAAACGTGGACTCATCTGAACACAGCATACATTTCCACCGTCTTTTTGACTATCTGAGATGAGATCTGGCCCAGACAACCCGGCAGCATCACAGAGATTCAAGTTGCATTTCTTCACCCGGAGTCTACGACGCTGTTGTAGCACATGCAGAATGAGAGCTGGCATTGTCTTGATCTAATAACCATGGACTTCCCATTAAAGACATCATTGATGGAAGTATATTTCTCTGTACAATTCCAATATATGCCTCCATGTCAATAGTACCTTCGCACATAAGCCAGTCACCCATGCCGTTTGCTCTGCTGCACTCCCATACCATGACAGACGTTTGCTTTTGCTTCAGTCACTGATGAAAGTCTGAATGGTCCCTTTGGTCTTTGGGACTGAGAACTCGAAATCCATTTTTTGAAACGTGGACTCATCTGAACACAGCATACATTTCCACCGTCTTTTTGACTATCTGAGATGAGCTCTGGCCCAGACAACCCGGCAGCATCACAGAGATTCAAGTTGCATTTCTTGATGCAGCAGCAGGCTGTGTTAAGTGACAGCAGTTTTCTGAAGTACTCCTGAGCCCATGTGGCTATATTTAATGCAGCAAGATGGTTTCTTATGCAATGCCATCTGAGGGCTCAAAGGCCATGCACATTCAACTGAGGTTTCCTGCCTTGCCCTACATGTACTGTGATTTCTCTGGATTCCCTGAATCTTTTTACAATATTACGTGTGGTAGTTGGTGAAAGAGCTAAATTCTTTGCAATTTTGCATTGCGAAAAGTGATTTTTGATTTGTTAGACACTTCTCTCATGAAATTTGACACAAAGTGATGAGCCATGATCTAGCTGGATCTGGATGCTCCTTTTATACCCAAACATGATACCTTGACCTATTACCAATTCACCTGCTTACTGTGAATTGTTTCAAAACCGTTTAACGTGGATATTCTATAACCTATTCACTTTTATTTTGCCTCTCTTCCAACTTTTTTGGAGTGTGTTGCAGCCATCAAAATTTTTTCATATTTACAAAATACATTTACGTTGGTCAGTGAAAACTCTGGAAATCTTTTCATTGTACTTTTGTCAATTAAATAAAAGTTAAAGAGAATTAACAAATCACAGATTCTTGATTTTATTGGATTTTTACACAACGTCCCAACTTTTCTGGAATTAGGGTTGTAGATTGTAAGGAGAACCACTGAAAATATCAAAATAGTGGTTCTCAGCTTCTTTATTTTCTTATGAGGTTGGTATTTCTGATACCTCTGCAGTCCATCTGCACAGAACTGATTTTTCTGCCATAATTGACAGCTTTTTGCTTGCATTGTGCATATTTTTATTGGTTTCTGCAGAGATCATTTTAGATTTCCTTTCTCAGAGGTGTTGCAGTGGTAATATTCTGGCTCGACATGAGCTTACGTGAGTGACACTCGTTACACAATGTCACGATCATATTCTCTTCACTTTACCACAGTACTATTCCATTATCTTTTCACAGTACTATTTAATAAAGAGTAGTGACAGGCAAATATATGAGCTACGCTGATCTGTGTCTGCTCTCCTGTGAATCATTTATAAAATCTACTAGCAGCCCAATCAATGGACAATACACAAATTTTCTCAAATACTGTGTGAATTTTTAGTAAAACAATATGTATAAATGTTTAAGTGCACATCTAAATTGCCATAATTAAATAGTATTGGCTAATATGGGCAAAAAATAATTGGAGTGTCTATTTACACCAAGTGCAAATAGCCCGCCTTGTTTGCAGAGGCTATTTACACTAACTCCGCCCACCAACGTCTGATTGGAATAGTCAACACTGAAAAAAGACACTCATCGCACGTCAGTTTCAGTGGCGTAGTAGATGGTAAGGCGCATGCTTTTTGACGACCCGAGTTCGAACCCGCCTTTTGCCGAACTTTTTTTTTCTCCCTTTTCAAATCTCATACCGCATCGGAAAGGCATTTATTTTAAATGAAAATGAAGGAAATGATCAAGTTGAAAATAAAGTTTCGGATAGGGTAGGTGCAGGGAGAGCTTTATTGTCCCAATAAGGTGGCATCCATTTAATAATTTGTTTTAAAATTATAATTTACACTCAAAAGACTTCAGATGCTCAGCAGTCTGTGATTCTCCTTTTCATGACTGGTCATTCATTTTTAATCGGAGACAGATCTGGACTGCAGGTAGGCCAGTTTAGCACATTCACCCGGAGTCTACGACGCTGTTGTAGCACATGCAGAATGAGAGCTGGCATTGTCTTGATCTAATAACCATGGACTTCCCATTAAAGACATCATTGATGGAAGTATATTTCTCTGTACAATTCCAATATATGCCTCCATGTCAATAGTACCTTCGCACATAAGCCAGTCACCCATGCCGTTTGCTCTGCTGCACTCCCATACCATGACAGACGTTTGCTTTTGCTTCAGTCACTGATGAAAGTCTGAATGGTCCCTTTGGTCTTTGGGACTGAGAACTCGAAATCCATTTTTTGAAACGTGGACTCATCTGAACACAGCATACATTTCCACCGTCTTTTTGACTATCTGAGATGAGCTCTGGCCCAGACAACCCGGCAGCATCACAGAGATTCAAGTTGCATTTCTTGATGCAGCAGCAGGCTGTGTTAAGTGACAGCAGTTTTCTGAAGTACTCCTGAGCCCATGTGGCTATATTTAATGCAGCATGATGGTTTCTTATGCAATGCCATCTGAGGGCTCAAAGGTCAAGCACATTCAACTGAGGTGTCCTGCCTTGCCCTACATGTACTGTGATTTCTCTGGATTCCCTGAATCTTTTTACAATATTACGTGTGGTAGTTGGTGAAAGAGCTAAATTCTTTGCAATTTTGCATTGCGAAAAGTGATTTTTGATTTGTTAGACACTTCTCTCATGAAATTTGACACAAAGTGATGAGCCATGATCTAGCTGGATCTGGATGCTCCTTTTATACCCAAACATGATACCTTGACCTATTACCAATTCACCTGCTTACTGTGAATTGTTTCAAAACCGTTTAACGTGGATATTCTATAACCTATTCACTTTTATTTTGCCTCTCTTCCAACTTTTTTGGAGTGTGTTGCAGCCATCAAAATTTTTTCATATTTACAAAATACATTTACGTTGGTCAGTGAAAACTCTGGAAATCTTTTCATTGTACTTTTGTCAATTAAATAAAAGTTAAAGAGAATTAACAAATCACAGATTCTTGATTTTATTGGATTTTTACACAACGTCCCAACTTTTCTGGAATTAGGGTTGTAGATTGTAAGGAGAACCACTGAAAATATCAAAATAGTGGTTCTCAGCTTCTTTATTTTCTTATGAGGTTGGTATTTCTGATACCTCTGCAGTCCATCTGCACAGAACTGATTTTTCTGCCATAATTGACAGCTTTTTGCTTGCATTGTGCATATTTTTATTGGTTTCTGCAGATATCATTTTAGATTTCCTTTCTCAGAGGTGTTGCAGTGGTAATATTCTGGCTCGACATGAGCTTACGTGAGTGACACTCATTACACAATGTCACGATCATATTC